TTAGCTTGTATTGAAGGTAGAGTTAATTATATATGGCTGTATTCTACCTCAGCCAGCTGTATTTTTCATGAAGACATTGTTTAGTGCCTATAAGATATTTTTCTTTTGGGGATTGTTGACTGGTCCAGGAATTCAGTGATTTCCTGTTTTACTGTCCTTGTGGGGATATTTTATTTTCAGCAATATAGGCATGTGCACGCACAACATAAAGATAGCTGTACAAGTGTGTGTGTGTGTGTGTGTGTGTGTGTGTGTGTGTGTGTGTGTGTGTGTGTGTGTGTGTGTGTGTGTGTGTGTGGTCGTGTTTGTTTGTGTGTGTGTTTGTGTGTGTGTGTGTGTGTGTGTGTAAGTGTACACATTTGTGTGCATAATGCATATGTTTGCACCTTTGAATTTTTTATGTGTTAATGTGGGTGTACAAGTGCATTCATTTAAAATGCTTTTCCACCATCTTAAGGAAGACTATAGGGCTGAACAATATTGGAAAAATCTGACATTAAAATATTTTTGTTCTGTGATATGTATTGCAATATGAATATAATTTCACCAGATGAATTGAACAGCAGTATTTGAAAAGATTGCATTCATTTAGATAGCTTGGGATGATCAAATCTTTTCGGTGTAGTGCATTTGCATAAATTATAATAAATTACAAGCATACTATAAAACGTCTATACAAAATAATGATGTAAAAAATGAAATTATTATAGACGCTCAGAAATAAAGGTATGTGAGTTGTCACTGGGGTGGTACCTTTTTAAAAGGTACATGTTTGTACTTAAAGTATGAATTAGTACCTACAATTTTTAAGAGAAACTCTTTTGTACATTTTAAGTACTAATATGTACCCTTGAGGTATTAATATGGAATTTTTAGGTACAAATTTGTGCCTTTTGAAAAGGTACCACCCCAGTGACAACTTGTGTACCTTTATATTTGAGAGTCTAGCCTATATAGCCTATAAAAAGGTCAATATTGCCACCACAAGTGACAGAGGAATTGAATTAAAGTAATAAAGGGCTAGAATTAAAATGATATAACCCACTTTGTAGCTTTCTTTTAAATTAGATTAGGCCTATATAAAAATAGCCTATATAGAAATTCTTTTGATGAGGTGTTTTCCACTTTGGATGTATTTTAATATAGCTAATTTTGATAATGGCGACGCAGTGGCTCAGTAGATAGTGCTGTCGCCTCACAGCAAGAAGGTCACTGGTTCGAGCCTCGGCTGGGTCAATTGGTGTTACTGTGTTCCCGTGGGTTTTCTCCGGGTGCTCCTGTTTCCCACATAACTTCGAAGACATGTGGTACAGGTGAATTGGGTAGGCTAAATTGTAGTGTTTATGTGTGAAAGAGTGTGTATGGATGCATCCCAGAGATGGGTTGCAGCTGGAAGGGCATCCGCTCCGTGAAACATGTGAAGGATAAGTTGGCGGTTCATTCCGCTGTGGGAACCCCACATTAATAAAAGGACTAAACCGAAAAGAAAATGAATGAATGAATGTATTGAGCCATTAAACAATTATAATTTGAAAGAGAACATTGACATTTTGAAAACTGAACTGGAACTGTATAATTACAAATAAACTTAGAGACTTTTTATGCTTTTGATAAAGTAGCATTCAACTTGAGCTCCTTAGAAAATGTGCCGGAACCGTTTCTCCATGTTTTGCTGGTAATATCTTTCAATAAATATTTATTTAGGCCTATTTAATTATTCATTTATTATTTATGTATAATAATTGAAACATAAAAAGGGATAATAAAATAAAATCAACAACGAAAATGTAAATGAAAACATAAATGAAAAAGCTTATTTATTGACTCTCTCTATATTAAGGCTAAAACACTGTTTTATTTATTTATTTATTTATTTATGCCTACTTGTATGTATGTATGTACAGTATGTATGTTCTTTCATTTTAGTTGTCTTTTATTTCTTTTATTTTGTTTCCAAAAATGAATCCTCATTTCACTTAACATGTTTGCAATGATAATAAAGCTTGTTAACAAGTTTTTAATAATTAATGGAGGAATTATGATGCTTTGTTTCATTGTTTCATTTCATTTACAAGTAGCAAAGTATTAACAGCTACTGTGTAATTCTGTCTATTCTCATCCTATCCCTGTGTGCCCCCTGGCGGCATAGTCGCAAACTGCGGTTTTACCTAAAAAACACGTTCCATTTGTACACGACTGTCGGAATACACCCCCTTGTGGCAGTCGCACAGAATTTTCAGTTCTGACGTGGACCATGAGAGAGAAGCTGTTCTCACAGTGTCCGAAATAAAAAAGTGCAAAAGCAACTCCCGCACACGAAACTGCATGAACAACACTAGTGGAATATATTATATCTGGTCGGCCGATCGCATACAGTTTAGTCGCAGGAGATCAAATATTTCAACAGATCCGCAGCTCAATTCGGATCCGAATTATCAGCATACGAAAATAATCGGAACTCCACGCAGTTCCTGGACTACTCTTTATTGGAAATGAATGACTTCTGGTCTGTCGCTTGTCGTGTGCAGTGGAAAGGAGACTTTACTCCTTTAGTGTGGCGGCGATACGTCTCGCAGCGTTAATGCTCCTTTTAAAGTGTCACCCACTGTATGTAAACAACAGAGCAAAGATAAAAGTTACATAAACAGCGCTTGATGATTTTAACAGAAGTCTAACAGTATTCTGGTACAGAAATTAAACAAGCATAAAATAAGATGGTCATCGTTGTATAAATTAGTTAAAAATAATCATAGTTAATCATGTTTTTGTCTTTTAATACTTAATATATAATCTAATCCTACAATGTGAGTATTGCAGATCCACACATTGCGATATCGATGCTTAAACTATAAATTGTGCAGCCCAGTGTAGTGTAGTAAGTACAAAAATGCAGTAAGCCAACAGAAACTGTGCAAATTATATATATATATATTTTATATTATAAAAGTTTTATTCTAAAATGTATGTTTCACTCACAATTTATATTAGATGTAATGTGTCTTGTATTCATTTGAAAAAAAAAAATTGTTACAATTTAACTGTTGTTTTAAAAAGAAAGTATGTTTGCTGATATTAAAGTTTGCTTCCAAATTTCTTCAATATATCTTCCTTGTGGCACCATTTAAATCAAAACTATAAAACTATAGAGTTTAGATTTAAATGGTGCCACAAGGAAGATCTATTGGAGAAATTTGGAAGCATATACACACACACACACACACACACACACACACACACACACACACACACACACACACACACACACACACACACACACACACACACACACACACACACACACACAGTTAAAGTCAGAATTATTAGCCCCCCTGAATTATTTGTCCTCTGTTTAATTATTTTCCCCAATTTCTGTTTAACGGATAGAAGATTTTTTCAACACATTCCTAGACTAGACATATTTTTAATAACTAATTTCTAATAACTGATTTTTTTTTTTATCTTTGCCATGATGACAGTATAGAATATTTTACGAGATATTTTTCAAGACACTTCTATACAGCTTAAAGTGATATTTAAAGGCTTAACTAGGTTCATAGGCTAACTAGGCAGGTTAGGGTAACTAGGCAAGTTATTGAATAATGACGGTTTGTTCTGTAGACTATCAAAAAAAAAATGCTTAAAGGGGCTAATAATTGTTTCCCTAAAATGTGTTTTTTTTTTTAATAAACACTGCTTTTATTCTAGCCGAAATAAAACAAATATGACTTTCTTTAGAGGAAAAAATATTGTCGGACATACTGTGAAAATTTCCTTGCTCTGTTAAACATTATTTAGGAAATATTTAAAAAAGAAATAAAAAAATCAAAGGGGGGCTAATAATTCTGACTTCAACTATATATATATATATATATATATATATATATATATATATATATATATATATATATATATATATATATATATATATATATATATATATATATATAGTTACAACTATATATATATCAATAGTTGAATTGTCTAATTGATTATAGACATTTTTGTTTTTATTATGTTCTTAATCATCTTCTGTGTTTTAATTTACAATTTTGATGTAAAGCACTTTGGGCAGCCCATTGGGTGAAAGGTGCTATAAAAATAAAGTGATTTATTGACTGAATATATGATGATGGAAATCACAATGTTTTTGAGTGGACTATCTCTTTAATGTGGCATACCATAAAGGTTAATGCCATGTTCAAAGATAAAGGGTGGAGAGTGCTATTGTATGTGTTGGGTCAACTGTGTGATTGCAAATTTATTTACAAATTATTTACAACAGTGTTTACACACAGGGGTTTTAAATGTACAGTTAAAGTCATAATTATTAGCCCCCCTTTTTTCTTTTTTAAATGTTTCTCAAATTTTGATTAACAGAGCAAGGAAATTTTCACAGTATGTCTGATAATATTTTTTCTTCCGGAGAAAGTCTTATTTGTTTTATTTTGGCCAAAAAAAGAAATTTTTAATTTTTGAAAAATAATGAGGTCAAAATTAAGCTATATATATTTTCCAATAGTCTAACAAACCATCCTTATACATTAACTTAAGTCACTTAAGCTGTATGGAAGTGTCTTGAAAAATATATAGTAAAATATTATTTCCTGTCATTATGACAAAGTTCAAATAAATTAAAATGAGTTAATTAAACTATTATGTTTAGAAATGTGTTGAAAAATATTCTCTACGTTAAACAGAAATTGGAGAAAAAAATAATTGGGGGGCTAATAATAATTCTGACTTCAACTGTAAATACATCTTTAAACAAACAAACAAACAAACAAACAAACAAACAAACAAACAAACAAACAAAAAACGCATAATTTGGCTAATTTAAATGTTAGTTATCAAGTTTGTGCGATTTTTGTTGTAAATTATTTACTTTTAGCTATTAAAAATTAACAGGTTTTTACTGAAGGTTACAGTCCATTTTTCGTATAAAACTGAACATTAGCCTATAGTTAAAAAATGATTAATATTACCCTACAATAATGTAACATGCAACCTATATAAAGCAATGCATCTTTAATACGATTATAAAGGAGGAAGATGGGCTCGGAATGCTCAATATGCCCATGAGAACACCCCGTACCAGCATCCCTTGTCGCTTGTGTTTCTTCACCCCACCCAGATGCACAAGACTGACGGGAACGATGGCCATTCAAAAGTCCTCAGTACAGTAACGGGGGAAAGGAGCTTTTGGAAACAATCAGCCCCCCGCCAGCTCCGAGCGAGCATTCGTTACTGATGTGAGTAGTGAACGCTACAGTAACCACGGCAGAAACGATGCTCTAGATATTTACCACTACATCTACGCGCTCGAGACAGATCCACAGAATGCCAGCGGTCTATAGATGTCGGTGTAGCGGTCGGTGTGTGGATTTGTCTGATTGAACCATTAGAGTTGAGTAACTTTTCAGAATGCACGTCTGTTTACATTGCGCCGAGGAATGGACGCACTTCTGAAGTGAATGTCAATGGAGAATGTTCACGGTGCTTGCTGGCGTCGCGGTATGGACGCGTTCCTGCTCTACCTTCTTCTGCTAATTGGGATTGCAAAGGGATCAAATTATGGCTACGTGGAATGGTCTGAGAGCGACAAAGATCTCGAAATCAAGGCTAAATATCCTGTTTACAGCACCAGCGAGACGACGCACCAGCAGCCGACCATCTCCAGCACCGAGCGACCGGCGGTGGCGCATAAGCTCGAGGAGGATCTTCCGCGGGTGGTCACCGCTTTCCTCCACACCGGAGACTCGTCCACCCTGGAGCATGTCAACTGCTCGCGGCGGTATGAGCTGAGCAGTCTTCGCGGTGGAGCTCACGCCGCCTCGCACTCCTCCCTCCAAGGCGTCCTCGACACCGTGGCACAAGCCACCAACTTCCTAAACATGCTCCTGCAGTCCAATACCTCCAAGGAGCAGCATTTGAGGATGGATATTCAGTGGTACCACGCGCTGGTGTCGAGTATGTTGGAAGGGAATCCTAAAATCCACCGGGCAGTGGTCACATTTCACATGGAGTCTCCTGAGGCGCCTGGTCCTCAGGTGTTTCTCCAGGCGACCAGAGGAGAGGAGCGCATAGTGCTTCAAGATCTGTCCACCACCGCGCGCCATCGCCTTAAAAACCGGACTTCTGAGTCCGACTGGTACAACGTGTTTCGGGACCGAAATAAACACAAGCGGCTGGTTAAAAGTAGAGCGTTTCCAGCAGCGCATGGCGGATATTTTTTAGACAAAAGTCATGTCAAGTGGTCTTCGCCTTATCTAGAGTGCGAGCACGGCAGGTTTGTGCCGCACTGGCTTTTAACGATTTCTGCTGGCTTCTATGGCTTGAAGAATAAGACGGCGCCCGAGTTTAGGTAAGCCACACTGTTCAAGAACTTTAGCTATACATGAACATTGAAGACTATACAAACTGAACAACGAATTAGAATTTTGACTTTGTTTCTTTTTAAACAAAACTTAAAATTTAACATAAAGAATTGTATATTATATTATATTATATTATATTATATTATATTATATTATATTATATTATATTAATTATATGATGGGAAAAATGATGCAGGGTAGGCTACATTATGCACTTTTGGCCACAAAATCATCTAAACATTTCTTGAAGAAAATGAATATAAACTTCACTAAACACAACCCATTTTGTGGGGTAAACTTGCACAATAATTGTTCATAAAATAAAAAGACACAACAAATGTCCATGGTAAAACACTAACAATGATGAAAAACAAAATTAAGCCTGTTTCCAACAAATGAATTGTTGAATTTACGGGATTTAAATCACCTGTCCGACCTTATTGAACAGAACAATAACTTCATTCATTCATTCATTCATTCATTCATTCATTCATTCATTCATTCATTCATTCATTCATTCATTTTCCTTCAAGTTTTATAATGTTTTATTGTGTTCACTTGTTTACCAAGCAAGTGTATCAAGTATAATATGGTATTATGATGATGTTTGAAGAAACCACATTTAGGTATTGGAAGCTTAGTACAATGCATCATTGTCATTCAATTAACATATTTAAAACGTGTTAAAGCAAGTTGTATTTAATTTTAAGTTGGCACAATCACTATTCTAGAGGAATGTTTCAGTAAATAGAACACTTTAATGGTTTATAGATATTGTTCACAATAAAAACAGTTATTGTCAAATGTTGGTGGAGCATATAAATAATTAATGTGGTTTTGTTTGGTTGAATGTAAATGTGACTAACACCCACTGCAAACCGCTGTGACACCGCTTGGTAAAAAATCATTGAAAAAAGAGCTTGTCAGCATTTGCTGGCGGATACCATTTGGCTAGATATTTTTTTTTTTTCAACAGATTCCATGCAATGCCATTCAGGTATTTTAAAGTATATGACTCGGGTGTCCAGATAGTTTTGGGGAAAATTTATTTTAATGATGAGAAAGACTGTTGGACACACATAATCACTGGGTGAATAAAGAGGGAATGTTTGCACTTGAATGAGCAGTTTGCACTGCTGGGTATCACTCAGACACAGCATCAAGCTACAAACCTGATCCAAGCAATTTTAAAATCAATCTATTCATGAATAAATTACAGAAGTTGCTGGCTGCATTGGTTACTTGAACCCTTTTGGATATTTTTTTGGGCCACTTGCACTTTAACAGTGCACATGATACACTCGTGTGCACTGCAGGGGCGCCTCCAAGGGGTGGCCAGGGGTGGCCACGGCCACCCCTCGGTAAACTCTGGCCACCCCTGTGGCCACCCCTTTGCCCACCCCAATATAATTTTGCGGTTGACATTATTGATTTAAATGAACTTATAAATTCCCAATATTTAGATAGATAGATAAATAAATAAATAAATAAAATGCAGTCACAAAATTATTGTTGGTGTTACTGACGTAGCTCTCCCCCTCTTGTTCAATGCTGGTGAAAGCAAACTGACGCATGAGCGCGGAAAACCATTCCCGCGCGCCTCACGCACTCCTGCGTGAATCCCGGTTGGTTGTTTGCATGCACGCCGACATAATAGGCACCGCTCATGCGCCGTGAAACCGGAGTAACAGCCTTTTGTGTAGAAGTGTCGGCACGCAGCGAGTTTTGAAATGTCGGTTAAAGTTTATATAATATGATGATGATGATGATGTTACTTTCACTAAGCATGCCTTTAAAGCAGAAAGAAGGGATAATGAGTCAGGGAGGTAAGACTTCATAACATGATTTATCAGCCATGATCTGGTCTAAGACCACAGATAATTCTATAATACATTTTTTGTATTCTTTAGAATTGTCATAATTAATTTTCATGCAAAAGGTTTCTTAAGTGATGTTGGCATATCACTCCAGTTGTTGTTTTCCAATAATATTTAGGACTGATTTCTGTTATTTATTCAGAATATTAATTGTATATTAATATTATTTGTATTTATTTAGAATAAATATACATAAATTGTTATATTTATTGAATAACAAATCTAACAATTCAAGAGAGGTGGGGGTGTATAGGGTGGTTCGCCCAGGGTGTCATTTAAACTAGAACCACCACTACCCTCCCCGATCGTCCTTGACAGCACGCACACACCTTCAATAGACAGCAATGGCAATTTAATATTTACCTTAAGCTACAGTATATCAATAGAAGAAGCTGCATTAATAAAATGGCTCAAAAAGCAATATGGATAAATAATATAATTAGGTATAGTGAGTGTGTATAGTAATGCCTTTTGTTCAGTTTGTTCATTTGTTTGGGTTATTAATAAACTCATTATTCTTTCATTCATTTTCTTTTCGGCTTAGTCCCTTTATTAATCCAGGGTCGCCACAGTGGAATGAACCGCCAACTTATCTAGCACATTTTTACACAACGGATGCCCTTTCCAGCTGCAACCCATCACTGGGAATAATAAACTCATTAATCTTCATTAATTTTAGACATGGCATATCATGATGTACAATAAAGGCACGTAAAAAAAGAAGTTATTATACAGTATATGAAAAGTGTTTTTAAACTAAACATAGATTTTTATTTGGTTTGCACATGTACTTGCTGAATTATTTCAAAGAATGAATTGCAATATTTCAAGTAGAATTAATTAAATGAATAAAAACTACATTATTTCATTTACCAGAAAAAAATATATAACATTACACTGAATTCATTATTTTTTTTGTGTGCCACCCCAAGATTTGGTGCGGCCTCTTCTGGCCACCCCTAAGAAAATTTTCTGGGGGCGCCACTGGTGCACTGCATAAATATTTTATAATCTACAGCCATTGCAGCAGAAGTCATTTTCAGCCAGAACTGATCTATGCAATGGTTTGGAAAGTCTACAAGTTTGAATGGCATATGACATATCAACTCATTTACCCCCAACATTAGGAATTTCTGTACATATTGATAATTCAAGTCTGTTTTTTTTTTTTTTAAGTGCAGGGTACCACTTTAGCATTGTTTTTGATATTCAAGCTACATCTTTGATTTCAGTGCGATACCTTTGGCGTTGATATATTATGATAGCTATGATGAAATTATACTGTATAGTGGTGTGTAATTTTACCATTACAACATGGTATAACATACTGCTTGTAGGATACACTATAAAAAATATTTTAGTTTTCATAAGTTCTTTTAAGCCAATGTTGAGTTTTTTAGTTGAATTTAAATTACACCAACACACTGATTGGGTTTGTCCATATTTGACCCAACATTAGCTCATATAGTGCATAGTAAATAACATAGTAGGTGGATTTGGTAAGTATAAAATGGTCCAGAAATGTTTTTATATGTTCATTTATAAATAGAAGATTTAGCCCTAGAATCAGATGCTCCATATTTACTGTATTTAGAACGGTTGTGAATATTAGCACACACATTTTGAGGTACTCTGAAATAAACACAAGCAAAAAAATTATTTGTCAAAAAACTTTTTCAATTTAATAGATGCCTTTTATTGTCCGAAGTGGACTGGACAGCAAGCAGCATCTATATTCTTCTTAGTGAACATAAATGTTTTTTTCCACGTGACGCTATATTAATGTATACAATGCAGTCTCTTGGTCACGCGAAAATATCCCAAACTGTATTTGTATACAAAGTTCACACATACAATTAATGTCACATGGTTATCTATATTTTTTTTACATTTTTAAAACAAATTAAAAACAAGTAATGTGTATGATTCAGCATAGTGGGAACTTACCTGATATAACATGAGAACTGCAGAGTCGAGCATTTCTAATTAGGTCGCCATTTTATTCAGCTCCCTTTTAGCCAAAGAGGTCTACCGTTGGCATTGAAGCAGTGTGGTGTATGGTAAAAGTGAAATTTTTCTATTTTCCCGAAGTTGGCAACCAACTCCGGGACGCTCAATGCACACTCAACACCACCTGTTTGCTATTGCAGCCGGTCTTTTTTTGTAACCGGGGACCCAGGTGACGTCATGTGTGACGTAGGTTGGTAATAGAGTGGAGGAACTATGACGTCACCTTGTAGGCTAATCAGCTGCTAGCAAAAAAATGGTTCCCTCGATAAAATCCCTATAGGATTTTCCCGTAGGCTTTTCGAAGTTTGCAAATAATAAGCTCTGTGTTCAAATGCTGTTCATAACACTTACACGCTTTGTCCAGCCGGATAATCCTCACACAAAAATGCAACTTTGAGCACTTTTGGATCTTAAATGCAAACGCAAGAACTGAAAAGCTAACATTAGGCAACGGACTATACTGCCCTCGGGGCATTCACCTGTGACGTCAGCACCACCCTGCTACAGACAACTGTAGCAGGTTGGTGCTACAGTTTTCTAGCTTATTTTTAGAAATATGGTCCATGGCAAAGAGTTAATTTCTCTGCTTATTATATTATATTATATTATATTATATTATATTATATTATATTATATTATATTATATTATATTATATTATATTATATTATATTATAATGCACGCTAAATATTATGATGTTGAATTCACTAAATTGGTCGTATTGTATAAGTGTGTGTGAATGTGAGTGTGTATAAGTGTTTACCAGTACTGGTTGCAGTGGCGCCCCCAGAAAATTTTCTTAGGGGTGGCCAGAAGAGGCCGCACCAAATCTTGGGGTGGCACACAAAAAAAATAATGAATTCAGTGTAATGTTATATATTTTTTTCTGGTAAATGAAATAATGTAGTTTTTATTCATTTAATTAATTCTACTTGAAATATTGCAATTCATTCTTTGAAATAATTCAGCAAGTACATGTGCAAACCAAATAAAAATCTATGTTTAGTTTAAAAACACTTTTCATATACTGTATAATAACTTCTTTTTTTACGTGCCTTTATTGTACATCATGATATGCCATGTCTAAAATTAATGAAGATT